GCCTACATCAAAAAATCCCATAGCGCAATGGCGAAGGTAGTCACTCAGGGGTTAGCAGATTCCTGTTCCAATTCCTTTTTCCCATCAGGTAGAAAGGGGACTTAAAAATGGGTGGTCCTTCACATTGTGGTTGAGCACAATAACCACTGCATTAAAAATTAGGAGGGAACTCTCTCCTCTCCCCCCTCAGGCTGTTTTGCACCATGTTGGGTGGCCTCTGAGAACACTTGGCCCTGCATTATGAGTTAGGCAAACATCCCCCCTCCCATTCATAAACTGTACTGTAGCTTAGACCCCATGGGTGCAGACATGTAGGCATCTAGGGAACTTTTACTGTGAAAGCTTAAGTGCCAACTGTATTTAGACAGCAACAGGGTTAAGCAGCAGACAGGCGGGTGTTTTGTGAATACCAGTGGCACCTAAATCTGGATGAGCTTAAGTAGCTTTGTGGAAATAAGTCCTATGTGCCCACATGCAGAATTCTAAATTTCCAAAGTCCTGTCTTTTTTGCTAACAGTCATTTTTATGTATTTGGAAATTAATGAATATTTTCTAAATTTCTGTTCTACATAATTTCTCCCACAGTTCATAATTTAGATAATTATGCTGTCTAAGTTATACAGACTTCCCATATAGAAAACAACATTGGTTAGTATGGCCAGGTAACTGAGACCAAGCAGCTATACATATACAAAGAGGGGATTTAATGTATGGTGGTGACATTACCATGTAACACAATATTGTATTATGTTAGTTAAATTCAACTTCATGTTTTGAAATTATTTGGCTATTTTCATTGTTACTAATTAATTTGGTGGGTACAGCTGAAACACATGAATGTTGCTATTTGAAACCTTCACCCCCCCCACCCCCAACCACATACAAACACATTTACCTCTTCCTTCCTTGATGGGCCACACACAACTCTACCTCTCCACAGAGAAAATTTTTATGAAGCATTTTCATCTCAGCCTTGCAAGAAATGTCACTTATTTGCTTGCCTGGGGAAAGCCCTCTTTGGACAGGCAAATAAAATATTATTTTGTAAGAATGGAGGAACACAGCACCATAGATACAGCAGACCACTCTTTGGTAGTGATCTGGGAAGAAGGTTATTACTTTATTTTATAGTACCCACTAGGCACTTCATAGAAAATGTATTAAAAAGACAGGTTCAATTTTTGAAGAGCTGAGGATCTGTATGATACATTTATCAGGAGAGAGGATATCACACACATGCTAGAGAAACATGTCTCAGGAAAAAAAGTATAGCTTTCAACTCAAGTTAAGCTAAACCGTGTTCAAATCCTAGGCTCTCTTCACTGAAAAAAAGTGTGTTTTTTACATATAGTTAATAAGGTTAAGATTTTGTCAGAGTCAATTTTAGTAAAAACCACAGACAAGTCACAGGCTTCTGTGAAATTTTCGCTTATTGCCCACCATCAGTCCCTGACTTTTCCTAAAAATAACAAAGTGGGGAGATGTGGGGGGCTGATTGCTGGGAGAACTGACAGCTCCAGTCCCCGCTTTGCAGTAGCCATGGGAGCTGAAGCAAAGTAGTCAAGGAGGTTCTAGATGGCATCCTTAGTTATCATATACAGTAAAACTCCCATGGTCCGGCATCTGATGGTCTGGCACCATCAGGAACCCGGAAGTGCTCCCGGCAGCCAGACCATTGGAGCTGCTCTGCCCTCAGCTTCCCCGATTCAGCCGCTGGCG